TGTCAAATGTAAAGTTCTTCAACCTCTGCTGAACTAGTAAGAAGCTGCCACCAATGTTAGAGAAAGGTTAAGAACACATCACCACCTAAGAAGTGAGCTTGAAAAAATTAAACATCAGCCTGGTGAGTGGCTCAGTGGTTGAGTTTCAACCCATGCACCAAGAGGTTGCCAGTTTGATACCTGGTCAGGCCACATGCCTAGGTTGTGGGCCCAATCCCCAGTGGGGGGCATGCAGGAGGCAGTCAGTTGGTGTTTTCTCTCATTGATGTTTCTCTCTCTCTCCACCCCCTTCCTGTCTAAAATCAATAAAGAATAAAAATGAAATATCAAACCAGAATCTGATCAAGTCTCTAGAGCTGTAACTACCAATTTTTAGGTGATACAACAGGAGAACACAATCAACTCCACCACAGGATGCAACTGGCAAAATCCAGTCTTTGGGACAACTACTTTCTTTTTTTTCTAACTTTTTTTTCTTTATTAATTTGAGAGAGAGAAGAAGGGGGAGGGAGGGAGGGAGAGAGAGAGAGAGAGACAGAATCATCGATGAGAGAGAACACTGATAGGCTGCCTCCTGCACACCTCCCACTGGGGATCAGGCCCACAACCTGGGCATGTGCCCTGACCGGGAATCGAACTAGCTACCTCTTGGTGCATGGGTTGAAGCTCAACCATTGAGCCACACTTGCCGGGCGGGGAAGGACAACTACTTTCAACAAATACAATGCAAGGGGGAAAAAGAGAAAGCAGAGCTGGAAGGGGAATACAATAGATTAGGGGAGACTCAGGAGAGCCAATACTTGCTAGACAACTGGAAATGTGAGCATTAATTAGATACAGTTGGCCCTCGTTGATCGCGGTTAATCAGTTCCAGACCGCAATAAATGAATTTCTGCGAAGTAGGATTCTTTATTTATATACAGTCATCCCTCTCCACTTCGCACTTCAACTTTTGCGGCTTCATTCTATCATGGATTTTTTTCTTTCTTTTTTTTTTTTTTTTATCCTCACCTGAGGACATTTTTCCATTTTTTGTTCAGATAGAGTGGGAGGGAGGGGGAGGGGGAGGGGGAGAGGAACATCAATGTGAAAGGGACACATCGAGTGGCTGCCAGCCACGCAACCCAACTAGGGCCGGGGACAAACTGCAACCGAGGTACATGCCCCTAGTGGGAACCGAAGCTGGGTCTCTCTGGACCGCAGGCCAACGCTCTAACCGCTGAGCCAAACTGGCCAGGGCTATCACGGATTTTTTTCAAATAGTCTAGTACCTATTTGAAAAAACCGCAATAAAGTGAAGCCGCGAAAATCGAAGCATGAAGTGGCAAGGGACGACTGTATTTGATATTAAGGCATTATTGTTAATTTTTTTAAAGGATTATTACCCTGACCAGGCTGGTGTGGCTCAGTGGTTGAGCATCGACCCATGCACCAAGAGGCTGCCAGTTCAATTCCCAGTCAGGGTACATGACCAGGTTGTGGGCCCAATCCCCAGTGGGAGACATGCAGGAGGGACCAATCTGTTTTCTCTCATCGATGTTTCTATCTCTCCCTCTCCCTTCCTCTCTCTCTCAAATCAATGAAGAATTTTTTTTTTTTTTTAAAAGAGTTCTTACCTTCTAGAGGTACATGGTGAAAAATCCACTGATGAAATAACAGCACACCTGGAACTAACTCCCAAATATGGCTGATGAAATGAGATCAGCCACAAGTAGACAACTGCTGATGCTGGGTATTGAAGATGGGGTTTGTTACACTAGTCTGTCTGCTTCTGATCTCCTCCACAGAAATTATTGAGGGAAGAGCAAAGCTCAGCCTGTCATTCAAATCCTCTAATTGCTTTCTAAGGTTAAAAAAAAAGCAAAACCCCGGCCCATGGCTCACAGGCTCTGCCCTCACCTCCTAGCAGCTTCCCATCGCTCCCTCCACTCCTGCCTTGATAGCTTCCCTGCCAGCCCTTCACCACTACTGGCACACTGCCTCTTGGGCCTGGGCTCCTGCTGCCCCACCCCCCCCAATCTGGGACATCCTGCTCCAGCCATTCACATGCTTCTTTTTTTTTAATTGTTTCGAGGTTAGGAATATTTCTACCAGGTTTTTTTGTTTGTTTTTTTTCTTTACTAATTTTAGAGAGAGAGGGAGAGAGAAAGAGAAACATCGATGAGAGAGAACTTCTACTGGCTTCCTCCTGCATACCCAACACTGGGGATTTGGCTCACAACCTGGGCATGTGCCCTGACAGGGAATTGAACCGGCGACCTCTAATGCATGGATCAACACTCAACCACTAGCCACACTGGCCAGGCCATATGCTCTTTCACGAGGCCGTCCTAAACCACCCTAACTAGAAACTACATCTAGAATCGCATTTTCCATCACTCTACCCCCTTCCCCTGCTTTGTTTCTCTACTCAGCTGACATCTGGTATCTGTATCTGGGCTTTCTCCTCTCACCAGAACTTAAGCTCCTTGAGGGCAAGAGCCTCCCTTCCTTGCTGCGCCTAGCGTGAGGGCTCTATAAATACCTATCGAATTAAAAAATTAAAATATCCGAGTTTGGACCCAGCCACTCTGCATAATGGGGGCCATCATCCCTATACCTCACCACTGTCTTGAGAATTCAAGGTCAGGCGGATAGCACACCCTACAAAGTGCCCAGTGATGGCCCTGAGGGACATGGAAACTCAGAGGTCCTGTGTCCAAGCCCAGGACCCTCACTCAACACCCCCTCCCCCCCCTTCCTTATACTATATGGCCCTCGGGAGTTTAGTTGGGTTCTACCCCTCAGTGGAGGGCAGCTAACTGGGGACCAACCCCCACAGCTGTCACAGGTGAAAAGGGGGCAAGAATGGCAGGATCCTTCCTCACTCAGATCTGGAGGGGCCTCCTTTCACCCCTAGGACTGGGCCTCATTAAAGGTAAGCCATCTCAGCTTTCAGAGGGAAAAACCTGTGCCCTATTGGGGAGCGCCTCACTCCAGCCCCACCCTGCCAGATGAGTCAGCAGTCAGACCTGCTTACCCATCCCCCCATCAAGAGCCAGCCACACCCCATGAACAACCTCCCTGCCCTCAAGGAAAAGACCTGATGCCTCTACTGGCAAAACCCCTCCCTCCCCAGGCTCAACTTGGCCTGCTCCCTAGGCAGGTAGTGACTCCCTGGGCAGCCCAGCCAGCCTGGTGGATCTGGTAATTACCTCTGACTGGGGGGAGAGTCACAAGCAAGCAGCCACCCCTCAAGCTGGTGGCTATGTGAGGACACAGGCTAGCTCTATTAGTCTGTTCCTCCTGAACCACCCAGCACAGGTATCTGCAGTCTCATCTATGAAGTGGCTGTGGCACCCACAGCCTAGGGGACAAGGCCAGGCACTGGGAGGTGGCAGGTATGGCCACTCTATGGGCTGGACGAAGCTCTGCAAATGGCAAAAGAAACCACCCTGGGCTGAGGTCTTCTAGGGAATGCAGAGCTGCTTTAACTTCGCACCTTCCCGCCTGTAATTTGACCTCCCTCCCTCCCTGGCTGAGCATCTCACAGCCTGATACCTGTCCACTGGCTTGCCCAACTCAGAGGGTGTACCACAGATGCGAGTGGGGAGAGAGAGCTTGTAAGAGAGTATACCCACTCAGGCCTGTGTCCTTCTCTCAGGACAGGTGGAATTTCTCAAGGGCAAGGTTTGAGCATGAGTCTCCGCACAGCAGTCCCCCCAACACACCCAATCCAACGCATCTGCAGGTCCAGTCAGCTCTACGGTTATTTTCCTTAGTCCACCCACTTCTTGCCCTCTCCAATGTGACCAACACAAGCCAGACCCCTCCATCTTGCTGGACTGGGCACCCTTGTCATTCATTTCCCTGCTCCATGTGCCCAGAGTTGTTCTAAGTACTTTATAAATCCTAACACATTTATTAACTGGTTTTCCAGATGGGGTCAGAATTCCTTTAAAATCAGGTATCATGCCTTGGCCAGTGTGGTTCAATGGTCAGAGAGTCTGCCCTCGCACTGAAAGGTCTCAGGCTTGATTTAGGGTCAAGGGCATGTAGCTGAGTAGCAGGTTCAATCCCTGCCTTGGTCCGGGCGCTTGCAGTAGGCAACCAATTTATGTCTCTCTCACATCAGTATTTTTTTCTCTCTCCCCCCCCCTCCCTTCCACTCTCTAAAAATCAATTGATAAGGATTAACAGAAAAACACACACACACCAAAAAAACAGGTATCAGATCACTCCTGCTAAAATCCCTGGACAGCACATACTGCATGAAATGAAAGCCCAACTCCCACCCACTCCAAGGCCTGCAAGCTACTCCACCCGATCCCCAACCTCTCTTCGAGGGGCTGTCTAAAGCGAGCTTCAGTTTCACTGGCTTGTCACTCTGTTAGAAAGAGCACTTCCACTAGGGCAGGAACTTCCCGCCCCAAGCATATGGCGAGTGACAGTGAGAAGAGAAAACTGGTACATAGCAAAAGCCAGGTCAGATGCTGTTCTAAGAGTATTATGTGTGTTACTCATTTTCCCTCTCAACAATCCTGGTTGGAAGGTACCATTATCAACCTCCTTTTACAGATGTGGAAACTGAGGCACAGAAGGGTTCAGTAACCTGCCCAAGACAAGTCAGCCCATTTAATTTGCTAAGGCCAGGAGGTAAATCGGGCAGCTTGCCACAGGGTCCTGTTTTCACCTCTGCATTACTCCACCCCTGCAGAAAAAATGATTGAATAAACATACGCTTGCAAATGTTTGCTGAATAAACAAATGAAACTGGGGGCAGCAGACTGTCAGGGAAGGCTTCCTAGGAGAGCTAGCACAGGATGTGATCCTTCAACTGAGGGCAGGATGTAGTTAAGCAAGATGAACAGAGGAACACGGATTCCACTATGCTAAACAAAGGAACAAGAACCACTGCCCTCCTGCTAGGTGTCACTAGGTGTGTCACACCTCAGAGAAGTACCCATTCCTCCTATCCTCTGGCTCAGCAGAGGCAATCCCCAAGGGCCACAGACACCTACCACAGGTCACTTTGCCTTCCGAGGTGGGTTTGGCCTGCTCCTGCTGCTGCTGGGGGGTGGCTGGGCCCCCTCTCCGCCGCCGTCTGGCACCACCACTGGGCCGGCCCCGACTCCGTCGCTGCCGCTTGGTTGGGGGGGAGCCTGAGAAAAACGGGGTGGTTGAGGACAAGATGACAGGTAGAGAACCAAAGCAGGTGCCCAGGGAAGAGCTCGAAGCAGGTGCCCTGGGTGAGCACCTCTGCCTCGGAGGCCCTGTCCGTAAGATGGGAAGTAAGTATAACCTAGCATCATCTAGAAAAGCAGGCAAGCACGCCCCCACCCAGCAATCCCACTCCTAGGTGTGACAATACAGAAACTCCTGCACTCCCACACCAGGACCAGTTCTGGCGACAGCCACAGGCATTGTTTACAGCTTATAACTACATTCACTTGAAAACAATGTAAATGTGTGGCAAAAAGAATACAGAGTAATTTCCAGGACAGACTGATTAATGAAGTAAACTGAGGTGCAAAAGAAATGTCTACAATTTGCTATACTTCACATAAGAAAAGAGGAGAGAGCCCTGGCCGGTTTGGCTCAGCAGTTAGAGCATCGGCCTGCGGTCCAGAGACCCAGGTTCAGTTCCCGCTAAGGCGCGTACCTCGGTCGCAGTTTGTACCCGGCCCTGGTTGGGTCGTGCAGGTTGCAGCCACTCAATGTGTACCTTTCACGTCAATGTTTCTCTCTCTCAATCTCTCTTCCTCTCTCTCCCTCCCACTCTATCTGAACAAAAAATGAAAAAATGTCCTCGGGTAAGGATAAAAAAATAATAAAAAAAAAAAAAGAGGAGAAACACAAAATACATACATTTGCTATTTTCTTTTTATCCTCAACCAAGGACATTTTTCCATTTTTTGTTCAGATAGAGTGGGAGGGAGAGAGAGAGAAAGAAACATCGACGTGAAAGGGACACATCGAGTGGTTGCCACCCTCACAACCCAACCAGGACTAGGGACAAACTGCAACGGAGGTACGTGCCCTTAACGGGAACCAAACCCGGGTCTCTCTGTACCGCAGGCCAATGCTCTAACTGCTGAGCCAAACCGGCTAGGGCCATTTGCTATTCTTGCAAAGTAAAACACTATTCTTGCAAAGTAAAACACTAAGGACAAATTAGAAATGAATGAAATTGACTACCTATTTACTGGAGGAGGAACAACAGTGTAAGTGATACTTCTAAAAATATCTTTTTTTGCCCTGGCCGGTTTGACTCAGCAGCAGAGGGTCGGCCCATGAACCAATAAGTCCAGGGTTCTATTCCAGCCAAGGGCATGTACCTCAGTTAGTCCCCGGCCCTGATCGGGGCCATGCAGGAGGCAACCAGTCGATGTGTCCCTTTCCCATCGATGTTTCTCTCTCTCCCTTTCTCTTCTTCTCTCTCTACCTAAAGATAAATAGAAAAATATCCTCGGGTGAGGATAAAGAAACAAAAAAACAAAGAACATCTTTTTTACATACTTTAGTTCTAACAAAGTCAAAAATTTTTTTAAAAGATAAAAGAGCCCTGGACAGTTTGGCTCAGTGATTAGAGCGTCTGCCTGCGAACCAGAGAGTCCCAGGTTCCGTTCCTGCTAGGGGCACGTACCTCAGTTGCAGTTTGTCCCCGGCCCTGGTTGGGGTTGTGTGGGTGTGGTAACCAGTGGATGAGTCTCTCTCACATCAATGTTTCTCTCCACCCCCATTCTATCTGAAGATAAATGCAAAAAAATGTCCTCGAGTGAGGATTAAAAAAAAAAGATAAAAGAAACAGCCTGGCTGGTATAGCTCAGTGGTTGAGCATCCACCCATGCACCAAGAGATCACTGGTTCAATTCCCAGTCAGGACATATGTCTGGGCTGTGGGCTTGATCCCCAGTAGGGGGCATGCAGGAGGCCCCCAATCGTTCTCTCTCACATCGATGTTTCTTTCTTTCTCCTTCTCCCTTCCTCTCTCTCTCTAAAAGTCAATAAAATATATTTTAAAAAAGAAACAAACCATAAAAATAAACACAAACAGAAACAAATGAACCTAACTATGTACACAATTGGTAAACATAAAAAGATAGAGAAAAGAATTTCAAGTTATTTGGAGAACATTCTGAATGCAAACTCTCAGTGGAATGGACTTCCAGGACCAGAACCACAAATACATGGTCTCCTTCATACAGTTAGCAGTGGTATTGACATTGTAATTTTTTTTTACTGTTGTAAAATAAAGCAAATAAATCCGTATCTCAATGTCATTAAGAACCAAGATTTTCGGTATATAAAAAAAATCCTTGTATGTTAATTTTGAATGAAAAATACTAATATTGCCCTGGCCAGTTGCTAAGTGGTTAGAGCATTGGCCCACGGACCAGAGAGTCCCAGGTTCAGTTCCCGATAAGGGCATGTACCACAGTTGCAGTTTGTCCCCGGCTCCGGTTGGGGTCATGAGGGTGGTAACCACTCGATGTGTCCCTTTCGTGTCAATGTCTCTCTCTCTCTCTCTCTCTCTCTCTCTCTCTCTCTCTCTCTTCCTCTCTCCCCCTCCCACTCTATTTGAACAAAAAAATGGAAAAATGTCCTCAAGTGAGGATAAAAAAAAATTAAAAAGAAAAATACTACTATGAAATTTTATTTTCTTTATTGATTTTAGAGAGAGGAAGAGAGATATGATTATGAGAGAGAACATGGATTGGCCACCTCCTGCATGCCCCCCAGATCGGGCCCAAAACCTGCACATGTGCCCTGACCAGGAATCAAACGGGCGACCACTTAATGCAAGGGTCGACACTCAACCACTGAGCCATACACAATGGCAGGGCACTAATATGAAATTTTTTTAATTTTCTATTTTTTATCCTCACCCAAGGACATTTTTTTCCATATTTTGTTCAGATAGAGTGAGGGAGAGAAAGGAAGAGAGAGAGAGAGAGAGAGAGAGAGAGAGAGAGAGAGAGAGAAACATCGACATGAAAGGGACGCATCCCCTGGCAGGTTTCGCTCAGCGGTTAGAGCATTGGCCTGCGGTCCAGAGAGACCCAGGTTTGGTTCCCGCTGAGGGCACGTACCTTGGTTGCAGTTTGTCCCCAGCCCTGGCTGGGTTGTGCGGGTGGTAGCCACTCTATGTGTCCCTTTCACGTCAATGTTTCTCTCTCTCTCTCTCTCTCTCTCTCTCTCTCTCTCCCCCTCCCACTCTATCTGAACAAAATATGGAAAAATGTCCTTGGGTGAGAATTAAAAAAAAAAGAAAGGAACACATCGAGTGGCTGCCACCCACACGACCAACCAGGGCCAGGGACAAACTGCAACCGAGGTACGCGCCCTTAGCGGGAACCAAACCCGGGTCCCTCTGGACCGCAGGCCAACGTTCCAACCGCTGAGCCAAACCAGCCAGGGCAATATGAACTTTTAAAAAGCACAGTTTCTAATGGAACACTATGTAGCTACAAGAAAGAAAGATCTTTTATCCTTTGAGATAACATGGAAGGACCTGGAGAGTATTATGGTAAGTGAAATAAGCCAATCAGAGACAGACAAATACCACATGATCTCGCTTATTTGTGGAATATAATGAACAGAAAAAGCTGATGAACAAAATAGACCCAGAGACATAGAAAGGAGTACAGTTCAGACTGACAAACTTCAGAGGAGGGGGTGGGAGGGGAGGGATGTGATAAATGAAAGAGCTTATATGCATGTATGCGTAACCAATGGACATAGACAACAATGCTTGGGGGTGGGGGAGATAGGGAGGAAGGTGTCTGGGAGGGGAAAGGAGAAACAGCTATAACAAAAATAAATTAATACCCCCCCCCCCAAAAAAATTTCAAACCACATTTAAAAGAAAATAGTTTCTAACTCTGTTCACTGAAAAAGCCTTGAAATGATATATACATTCAGTACCCAGACCTTGGTCTCTAAATACCACTGCCTTTAAAAGTAACCAGGCTTCTAAAAACAGCTGATTTCATGGCTAGGGAAGGAAAAGTACAGGTGAGTGCCATATCTTGCCATGCCACAAAGCAGGAAGTGCCCAGTGCAAGATGGAGTCCCATCAAGAAGACACAGGAGCTAGCCAATTTGAACACCAGGAAGAATGACTAATTGATTATAACACAGTAAATAAACAAGAATGCATGAGTCCATAGTGATACTCTCCACCAACAAAAGAGGGAGGGGGGTTGGAAAGAAAAACTCCTCTTGAAAAAAATGTTAGCTAATAGATGCAGAAAAAGAAAAGAATTAGGAAAATTACCATTTTCCGAACACCAGTGTAATAACTGGTTCAGACGGAAATCGCCAATAGATGCTAAGCTCACTGGTGATGCTGTTGGAGAACAGGATATGCCAAAGTGTCATCCCATAGATTGTTTACTAACCATAATGGGGGAAATAATGTCACTTTGCAAAGGACAAATATGGGAGACACCACCTTAACCAAGTGATCAAACTTTCCCACTCACAACAGGAAAACTAGACCTTCTGCCTCCTGCTAAAAACATAGAACCTGAATCAAATCAAGTCTCCAGACCCAATTCCCACTTCACAAGAAATACAGAGGACAAAGAGACAGTTAAATGACACCATTAGGAAATTATTAGACACTTCTGGAAATAATCAGGACATTCTACTAAACAACTGGCCTGGTAGGGGGAGAGTCCATGTCATGGTAAAAAAAGAAAAAGGTATGGGTGAGGGAGGAGTTTCATTTTAGTAAGAGGTTAAGGAGACATAGTGACAACTCACCTATGAGTGGACCCTGAAAATGAAGACAATCTAAGAGCGACATGAAAATGGACCATTAAGATATCAGAGAACTAGTGTTTACTTTATTAAGTATGGTAATGGTCTTGAAGTGGTATCGGAGAATCTCCCTATTCTCAGGAGAGACCTGCTGATTCAGGGGTAAAGTGTCCTGATGCCTAAAATTACTTTCAAAGAGTTCAACAAAAACAGAATTACATATAATTACACATAAAGCAAAAGTGGAAAAATGAATCTAAAATTATTGAATCTAGAAAGATATGAACATGTTCACTGAACTAATCTTTTAATTTCTCTGTATGTTTGAAATTATGCTTGAATTAAAAAGCAAGTAGGATTGGATAAATTAATTGGCACAACAATTAAAAGATACTAATTAGAGCCTGGGTCGGTTCGGCTCAGCAGTTAGAACATCCAACCAGGAACCAAAGAGTCTCGGGTTCAATTCCGGTCAAGGGTATGGACCTCGGCTGCGGTTTGGTCCCCAGTCCTGGTTGGGGTTATGGGGGAGGCAAAGAATCGATGTTCTCTCTCACATCGATGTTTCTCTCTCTCTCTCTCCCCCACCTCCTTCCCACTTTGAAGATAAATGAAAACATATCCTCAGGTGAAAATTAAAAAAAAAAAAAAAAAGATACTAATTAGAGCTCAACATGAATAAAACTCAGAAACATGTCCAACAAAGACACCAGGGTGAAGAATGATGAACCCATGAAGTGAGGCCATTTAGATGAAATCTAAAACCACAAGAAACAACTCCATATGTTGCTTCTGGACATGGTTTTTTTGTAGGAATCATAAAAACACACAAAGCAAAAATGAAATAGAATGACTCCTTAGGCCCTTTCCTAGATGGGCCAGGATGGAGAAGGTTCATTAGGGTTCAGAAGAAAGAGAGAGAAACTGCCTTCACACCCACCCGGCTGGGCTCACCTATCTCCCACTGGCCCTGCTGAGCATCTGACGAACTGCTTGACTGCCGTCGGCGACGGCAGCTGCCCTCTGTCCTCTTTGTAGAAGAGCTGGAGGTGCCATAGTTGTAGCGTTCTGGAGAAACTGGGGGGAGAGAAAAATGGAAAGAACTATTCAGAACCTCTGGCCCCTACCAGGCCCAGTGTCAAATTCCTACACTGAGATAAACACCTGCCCCAGAGGGTACCTGCATTCTCCAGAGGTCAGAGTCCAGACACCCATTCCCTCTCCAACACCTCCTCCTGCCCAGTAGTTGCTTGATGCCTCATGACATAGAGGAGGGCTCAGTCAGAGTTATTCTGTAATCTGAGTCATGGTAAGGATCCCTGTAATGTTGCCCGCCATGAACTACCCCTAGCTCTCCCTGAGGTCCCAAGAAGTAAGCAGGCCTCTCTTCAGGCTCCCCAAATCTTCTCTTCCAGAGCCTGACCTTCGGATATATTTTCCCAAAAGTGATGTCAGTTCTTCCCTAGTGCTGCCTTCTCCTGGTTATCCAAATCCCATGGGCTTATTTTGGGCAGGAGAGCCTCATACCCACCCTCCCCAAACTAGCCCCTGCACCTCGCCAAATAATCCTGCCAAAGTCTCAACAGCCTTGGCCTATGCACGTATGGGGCTCTTGTGCCTTAAATCCTCCCAGCTCCTGGCCTTCTCAAGACTGTTGTTCTTCCCACACAAGAATTAAGGACATCAACTCTGGACCCAAACCAGCTGAGTGTGAATCCTAGCCTCTATGATATGATTCTCACCTATCTCTCTTCCCTTTCTTTGGTCCCTTCTGCTCCTGCCACACTGGCCTCTGATGATACCAAACTCACTCCCGCCTCAGGGCTTCAAAGCTTGCCTTTCCCTCTCCCTACAGTGGTAGCAGTGCAGCCTCAGTTCAAATGTCAGAAAGATCTTGACTGGTTATCCAATCTAAGGGAGCCTCCCTATTTACTCTCTCTATACTATTGAAAGAACTCCTTATTTACTCTCTCTATACTATTACTTTTTTTTAGTTTTTCTATAACTATATGTAAAAATACATTGTTTATGTTTTAATAATGCAAGCCTCATATAACAAACACTTTCCTGTCACCTTATAATTCCTGTGTCCAACACACAGGATTCAGTTCTTATATACGAACAAACTGTTTGACTTTTCTGAACCTGTTGTTTTCTCTGTACAGTGGGACAGTAACAGTACTTCCTCATGGAATTTCCAGGAAGATATAAGAGCTTACTCTGTGTCTGGCATTAAACAAGCCCTCCATAAAGAGTGGCCACAAACATCATTATTGATGTGGTCAAATTCCACAAGCTCACCCCTCCCAAAGCTCCCTTCTCCCTTTTGTGTTTCTCATTGATATTCTGGGAGGAGGGAGTAATGGGATGGGACATAGGCTGTATGATATGGCGCTATCTATATCGGGGAACCACCGGGACCCAGATGCGGAGCTAGGCCCTCTCCCCACCGGCAGTCTCTCCCCCTCCCATCCAACCATACCTGGCCTGCGCCGCCTGCGCGCCAGGTGCGGCAGCAGATCCTGCCGGGCCAGCACTCGCAGGAGCTGCCCAAGGAGCCGCAGGTTGCTCTCGTCGCACTGCCCGCGGCGCTCCAGCTCCAGAAGCAGCTCCAGGCCGCTACGGGTGTGGGACAAGCCGCCGGCGGCGCCGGGGGCCTCATCCAGCAGGAAAGCCAGCAGATCCAGTTCGCACTCGGTCAGCTGCCCGCCCACCACCTCGAACATACGATGAAGCGACAGCATCCCGTAGTAGTCCAGGCACTCGTCCTCCTCCCAGCTCGGGGCAGGGGTCGACCCAGACAGCGCCATACCCGGGGGAGGGGGGCGGAACGAGCTCGAACCAGGGCCTAGAACCCACTCAGCAGGGAGGGGGCAGTGGTCAGCGACGTGGGGGCCCAAACGCCACCCCCGCCAGAGCGTCCTCCGGTCCCCGACCCGAGGGCAAGTCTACCCTCACACCCCAGCGGCTTCCCCCTTCCCCCGGAAGGAAATGGTATCGTCCGAGGTCCCCTAATAAGAGGTCGAGACGTCAGACCTCACTCGACCTCCGACTAGTCGGGCCCACAGAGCCCGAACGCCCCTCCCGAGGTGGTATGTTCCGAACCAGCCTCCGAACCCACCTAGTGATTTGGTCTGAACAAACCTGGGGGCCCACCGCGGGGCACCCTGTCGACTGCCCTTTGACTCTGGGTAGCAGTGCCCGGACGTGCTCCTCGACTCCGTCCAGAGGTACTGTCCGACCAGCCCCAGGCTCCACCCCAGTGGTACCGTCCCAAAGTGACCCTCTGGCCCCTACAAGTAGGACCGACCAAAGCAGCACTTCGCCCCGCACAGGCGGTGCTGTCCAAATCCGACCCCCTCGTCCTATATGGATGGTACCGCTCTCTCCCCAGCACCCAGGTGGTTCCGTCTACCCGCCACCAGTCGCCCTTAGGCCTCTCTGGATCCTCACCGAAATCTGGCGTCTGATGACTCCTGAGCAACGGCCGCGGCCACTTGTTTTGGATCTTTCTGGCACCTTCTCTATTATTACGCCTGCGTCACCTCGCCCCTCCTCCTTTCCCAACTCGCGCAGGTGCGACCGCCACGCCCCTTAAGCGCAAGCGCAGAGTGAGGCTTCTGAGCACCACCCCTCAGGGTCCGCCCCCAACCGTAGCGTCTGAGTCGGCCAGTGCTGCGCCTGCGCAGAGTGAGAATAGTTATGTGCTTGGGTAGGGTTTGGCTGGGTTTCTTCTACCAGTCTGTGACTTAAATCGCCGAGTCCTTGTTGCCCGTATAACATCACGACCTTTTGGAACTCCTCATGTCATGGACTACAGCCCCCTCCTAATCACGACCTAGACGCCCACATTACCACTACCCCCAACTGCCCAGGGAAAACAACCACAATCACGACCAACTTTCCTGGGTCTGAGAAGTGCCCAGGCCCTTATAATCAAGACTTGGACTTTCCTCCTTTAGACTGCCCCTTAACTCCTAATGGCGATCAGGAACCTGCAACCCAACTGTGCCATCTCATGATTTCAACTGGAATCCCTCAACATCCAACAGAACTCCCAACACCCATGTATAAATTCCTTCCCCTGATCAAGACGGATTCCTCCATCCCAACCGTGCACCTCCTGACGATGTCCACCACGAACCCCTCTCCCCCCATAACCCCTCCTAGTCTCTGCTTTCCAAGGTCACAGGACCTCCCAATACCCGCTTCTCTAACCTGCTCCTGTGAGTTTCTTTCTGGGGAGAGCAGGTCTCTTATCAGAAGAGTTGGAGTCCAGGCTGCTTGTATAAGCGTCCTCCCCACGTCGGAACCTTGGGCGTGGTGACCACCCCGCCCGCCCCCACTTAGGTGACTCAAGGTCAGGGCCCCACACCTGCCTTAAGACAGGCCCCCCCCCTTCCCTCCCCCGGAATTATCTCGCCTTGGGAGGAGGGAGAACTAGGTCCTGCCAGGCACTGGCTCAGCCAGCACTGGTTTTGCTTGGGCTGCAGCAGTGACCTCGGAAGAGTCCTTTCCTCTTTCTGATGGCAGTTATAACCTATTGAAACCCAGTCCTGGGTGGGACACACGTTGGTGCCCAATAAGTAAATATCATTAAACCAACTGAAGAGCGGGAGGAAAGGGAAAGCAAACTGGCAAAGGGTACCTCCATGTTAAATTTATAGAGAACACCCATGGTGTATTAGGCCCTGTGCTGAGCGTTTTGTTTTGTTTTGTTTTTATCCTCACCCGAGGACATTTTTCCATTTTTTGTTCAGATAGAGTAGGAGGAAATGAGGGAGAGAGAGAAACATCCATGTGAAAGGGACACATCGAGTGTCTGCCACCCGCACGACCCAACCAGGGCCAGGGACAAACCGCAACTGAGGTATGTGCCCTTAGCGGAAACCGAACCCGGGTCTCTCTGGACCACAGGCTGGGGCTCTAACCGCTGAGCCAAAACGGCCAGGGCTGTGCTGAGCGTTTTTATGTGTTTGATTTCATCTAGTCCCCTCAACAACCTTGGACATGATTCAAGGCCACTTTTACACAGGAGTAAAAGTGAGACCCAGAGAGAAGTACTCCAAGTGTGTCTGGCTCCAAAGCTGTGCTCTCAGGGATGTTCAATCTCTTCAGCTATGAAATGACATTTCTGTCAAGGTCTCCCGTCGCCCAGTCCACTCTTTGGGCCCTCACTTTCCAGACGTGCGCACTTCTCTCCACTTTCAGATTTGGCAGAGAAGCGGCCGGGTAGAACTGCGCAGGCGCTTCTCCGAGCCCGGAGCCCAGCCTACAGCGCACAGTTGCGTGCGTGGAGAAACTCGCTGAGCCCCGCCTGAGCTTCAACACGCAGGCTCAAGGGCGCGTGCCCTACGCTGCCGGCTCTGATTGGCCGCCACAGGTAAGAGCGCCGCCCAATGGGAGGTGTGGATAGTGAGGGGTGCCGCACACCAGGAGCAGAGGGTCTGTGTCAAGAGCAGCGGGGGTTGCAGCAGGCGAGAGAGCCGGGTGAGGGGCGCCGCGAGGCTAGGCGGGCGGGGGAAGAGAGCGCTGGGCCAACGGAGAGGGTGGAGGGAGAAAGAAGGGGACACCGCGGGTCGAAGAGCTTTGGGGCCTGCGCTATGGCGGGAGCGGCGCCGAGTGGAGGGAGAGCGCTCCTTCCAGTGTGCCCTAGAGCATCGATTGAGCCCCCGCGGTGTGCAGGCCCCTACACTTGAGCTCGTGGTCCCCGACCCCTTGCAGGGAGCTCTTTGGTTGCGGAGTTGATATGTCTGGTCAGAGAAAAGGGATGTGTAGCAGTGCATCGAGAAAGTTGAACTTCCAGGCCCCCTCTGGGTTTTTTTCCTGGAAGGATTTATTGATCTACTGTATAGAAAGCCCCCCCATTCCTCCTCCAAGCCAAGATTGGGAAGGGGGGAATGTAAACGAGGAAAGTCTAAATGTTAGGTCTTTCAGGCTACCTTGAGGGTACCCACTTTGCATAAATTTTACACCAGGCACTGGCAGTTCTCTGTTTGGAGTGGGGCTGTAAAAAAGAAACAAACCAAACTCTCAGGCCCTGGGAACTCAAAAAATTGTGAGGGAGTTAAGGAAAGTTTAGCTCCTGGGCTTTTATTGAATTATTTACTCAAGGAGCATTTATTGGGCACCATCTGAAAGCAGGGCCCTGAGCTGGGCCATTATTGTGGGAGTTCACAGTCTAATAGAGTTGGTCTGGTGGGGAGGTGGAATGTGCACAGAGACAGTTAAACTCTCAGGGCCTCACTTCCTGGAAGGAGCATTATTCATTCACTAAATGTCTACTCAGTCCCTTTTGTGTGCTAAGCACTGTTCTTGGCACTGGAAAGATAACAGTGATGAACAGGCTAAAATCCTTGCCCTCTGGAAGCTTAATATGAGCAACGTTATGTGCCAGGCTGTAAACTGAACTCCACCTGCCTCTGGCACTAACAGATGAGTTGAAGAAAAGATGAAGAAGGTGAAAATTGAATTTGAAAAATTAGCTCTTAGGATTGCAGGATTAGGAGGGAGTCATTTGCTCAAGGCACCCTGGGCCCCTGCTATGTGAAAGGACCTAGGTTGGATTGAACTCACACATCTATAAGGGAAAATGAGGCACATAGAAAAAGTTCAATAATTAAAATCCCTGCCCCTGGTCAGTGGTTTTGTGGGTGACAACAGTCCCTATAGTGAGTCAGACCTGTCCTGCCTACAAGCTCAGGGAGGAGCACAGAGACTTCATCCCAAGTTCATGATAACTGCTCTTATAGAAGTGGCACTGGATAGCATAGGAACCCCGAGGAGGAGGGAAGTGGCCACCAGCCTGAGGCTGCAGACATGTCAGAAAAGGCTTCACAAAGAACATGCTGGGGAGGAGTTTGCTAGACAAGAAGAGAAAAGAACTTTCTTGGTAGAAGGAATAGCAACATCAAAGAGTGAGGGTCCAAAAAACATTTCTGGATAACTACAAGTGGTTCTATCTAGCCTTTATCAAGTAACAGGCACTTTGTGGTCATTACTACTTTTAGCCTCATTTCACAAGTGAGAAAACAGTCTCAGAGAGAGGAAGTAAGTGGTGGCGCTCAGATTCAAGCCAAAAGCAATCTGGTTCCAGGGCCTGGGCTCTTAATCTCTTTGCTTTGCTGTGTCTCCATGTAGAAGGAGGAAAGGCACTACACAGAGAGGGAACTGTGCAGGCAAAGGCCAAGAAGCTCAGGAAGACATGTGTTCTCAGAAAGGGTACAACTGGCCCTCGCCCTCAGAGGCCAGACTGAGTAGGACTGTCTCTCTCCTGCAGATGTCTGGCTGCCAAGGGATGTGTGGCAGCTTCAGACACAGGCTCATTGAAGACTGAGGCATAAACACTGGATCTAGACTGGGTGACTGACAAAGGCTAGTGAATGACAGGATGGGCAAGGGAACTCCTGAGACACCCCCCCACGCCCCTTGGATTCCTGGTGTCTCACCAGCTCCCTTCTTTTTCCAGGGACTCCTTCCCCACAATGGCAGAGATGATGGCTGAAGTGGCTGAGATGGCCGAGATGTTGACACAGATGTCACCAGGAACAATGGAGATGGCGATACCAGTGTTTGGGGAGTTGTCAGCAGAGGTGACTGAGATGAAACCTGGGGAAGCCCTTGCCTCATCTCTCTTTTTCCAGCACCACCAGTTCATGTGTTCTGAATGTGGCAGCCTCTACAACACACTGGAGGAAGTCATCTCACACCAGGAACAGCATGTGCCCACTGTCACAGAGGAGGAGGCACTAACCACCCAGGATGCTAACCTGGAGCCAGAGCTAGTACCAGGTACTGAAGATGGGCCTTTCCAGTGTGGTGAGTGTAGTCAGCTCATCCTCTCCCGTGGTGAGCTCCTGGCCCACCAGGACTCCCACCTCCGGGAGTCTGCAAGCCAGATTCAGTACCAGTGTGGGGACTGCCAGGAGCTGTTCCCCTCGCCTGAGTTGTGGGTGGCTCATCGGAAGGCCCAGCACCTTTCTACTGCAGCAGCTGGACCACCAGTGCCACCGCCTCCATCTCCTCCTCCCCCAGCACCACCACCTCGATCCCCTGTTCCACCTGGAGTCAAGATGGAGCCCTATGAGTGTCCTGAGTGTTGTACCCTCTGTGCCACCCCTGAGGAATTCTTGGAGCATCAAGGCACCCACTTTGACTCTCTAGAAAAAGAGGAATGCAATGGGCTAGAGGAAGATGAGGAGGATGAAGAAGATGATGAGACAGAGGAGGAGGAAGAGGTTTTGTCTGCAGAGGTTGATGACGATGCTATAGGGGGTGACAAGTCCACAGCTGCCCGGGCCCAGAGCTGTGGAGATTGTCCCCAACATTGGACATCAGCAGGGGCACGCCGGCGACACCGGCGGGCATCTCGTGGCCCAGCATCAACATCCCACCCCTTCCTCTGCAGCCAGTGCCAGCGCAGCTTCAGCTCAGCAAACCGGCTGCTAGCTCATGGGCGGGCTCATGTTGGTGGCACACATGAGTGTACCACCTGCTTCAAAGTCTTCAAGAAAGCAGCCTCACTGGAGCAGCACCTGCGGCTGCACCGTGGGGAAGCCCGCTACCTCTGCGTGGACTGTGGCCGTGGCTTCAGCACAGAACTCACATTGGTGGCCCACCGGCGGGCCCACACCGCCAACCCATTGCATCGCTGCCGCTGTGGCAAGACATTCAGCAACATGACCAAGTTTCTCTACCACCGGCGCACCCATGCCGGCAAGAGCGGGGCACCCCCCACTACAGCAGGAGCCTCCCTGACTCCAGCTGAGCCCATGCCCCCACCACCACCTCCTACCCCTCCTGCCCAGCTGCCTTGCCCACAGTGTTCCAAGTCCTTTGCCTCAGCCTCCCGACTTTCCCGGCACCGGCGTACAGTCCATGGGCCCCCTGAGCGGCGACACTGCTGTGGGGTTTGTGGCAAGGGCTTCAAGAAGCTGGTCCATGTACACAACCACCTGCGGACACACACAGGTGAGAGGCCCTTCCAGTGCCACTCCTGCGGCAAGACCTTTGCTTCTCTGGCCAATCTGAGCCGCCACCAACTGACCCATACAGGTGTGCGTCCCTACCAGTGTCTGGACTGTGGCAAGCGCTTCACACAGAGCTCCAACCTGCAGCAGCACCGGAGGCTGCACCTGCGACCAGTGGCCTTTGCTCGTGCACCCCGCCTCCCCATTACCGGTCTCTATAACAAGAGCCCCTACTATTGTGGGACCTGCGGCCGCTGGTTCCGTGCCATGGCGGGCCTGCGTCTGCATCAGCGGGTCCATGCTAGAGCACGGTCAATGACACTGCAACCCAGATCACCACCTCCTGCCCCCCCCCCGCCCCCCCAGCCTCAGCAGACTATCATGTGCACTGAGCTTGGGGAGACCATCGCCATCATTGAAACGTCCCAGCCACTGGCACTTGAGGACACACTGCAGCTGTGCCAGGCGGCACTGGGAGCCAGTGAAGCTAGTGGGCTGTTGCAGTTGGACACAGCCTTTGTTTGACAGAGCTAAGAGCAACATTAAGAATTTGGTTGCAGCAGCAAGTATGGGCACTTATGGGGAGAAAGGGGACCACCCCCTGGCAAGCCCGCCTTAGTGGGTGCCAGGATCCACCCTGACCTCTTACCACTGACTCCTGAGAACAGCCCTGCCAGTTTCTCTTGTCACCTTTCTCTGCGTGTGGGGAAACTGAAGCTCTGAGATGTGATAACAATCTGTCCCAGAAAGCGGGGTTTGCCAAGGTTCTTTGCATCACCTTGCTACCCAGCAACATCAGGTAACCTTTCCTGAGCCCGAACCATGTGCTCAGGTATGTGCCCCATACATTTTCAGGTCTCTTGCTCTACCCCCGACCCTAGCCTTCCCTGAACTCTCAGCACCCAGGATTCGGCTCTGCCTGGTGGAGGAGGACACTGACTTCTCTGGGCTTCCTTTATCAAACTTTTAATGTGGAAGGAGACCTATAGGTGCCCAGGTGCTCAGCTGCAGAGGTGATGCTGGAGACCCAGGAATGAGTCAGACATGGGCTCTGCCCAGGAGGCCTGCATTGTGGTAGGAAGAACACGCACAAGTACAGATGACCTTGCTTTCTTAAGTGTGTCTTGTTGCTTCTTTCAGCTTGGGTGTCCTAAGGCCTCCTTCTTGAGTGCTAGGCAGTGCTTGGGGCGAGAGATGAGTCGCGCCTCTGCCCTGCCCCTGAGGGACAGACAGATCTCAGCCCCAGGTTCCTCAGGGTTGTGATGGGGATGTGCATGGACAGTGGGTCCCAGAGCAGGGAACAAAGCTCAGTAGTGGGAGATCAGGAGTCAGAGGCTCTCTAGAGGAGGTAGAAATCTGCTAGTGGAAAAGGAGAACATTCCAGGCAGACAGCACGGAGGGTTGAGTTGTTAGTATACTTGGAGATCGTCCAGTTATTCACAACTACAAAACAACGAACATTTGACTCCCTAGCCGTGGCAGGCACCACAGTTACCACTATACATGTACAGGATGTCCCCCAAAAATGTATATAGTATGTCTGTAGATTCTATTACATTTTGAAAATGAAATTTATTTTAATAAACACTGACTTTTTAATTATTCAAAGACTGTATACATTTTTGGGGGGATACCTATATTATCCCAGCGGACCTGTAAGATGATCTCAGAATTATCCCTTGTACAGATGAGAAAATGGACAGAGACTTGCCCAAGATCTCACAGCTAGGCAGAGGCGTGGCCAAGATTTGCACTTAGGCGGTCCCTTCAGCCCATGTCTGTAACCAGTGCTATTGATTGTGACCTGAAATCCTTGCAGGGGCTGGGAGCTCAGAGGAGGATTCACTGTAACTGAAGGAAAGGTCAGCTGGTGTCACAGAGCACTAGGGGTTTGAAGGGTCTTTCAGAAGATCAAAGGTCTTGGGAGCAGGAAGGGATCCCCAGCCTTTTCAAAGGTTTCCTGGGGTAACAATCCTTCCCTGATAACACCACAGTCAGGTTTATGGGGCAGGCTCCTCCCAGTCCTCTGCAGATCCAGGTGCTCCAGCAGGTGAGGCAGAATGGGGCAGAATGAAGCAGGACTGTGAGTTGTTTGGGAGGGAGGGCTAGACCTTGGAAGGCCTAGAAAGCAGGACTAAGTTGGGGCAGTTAAAGAAGGGGTGGGTCCTAACTGGGCGTTAGGGCTTCCTGAGGTCAGGATGGGGCAATGGGGAAGACTGAAGATGGTCCAGGAAGGAGAGAACAGTACAGAGCTGGACATAGGCCATGGGGGTGAGAGGAGGGTTAGGGACAGTGACCTCATGGCTGAGCAGATATAAGGGAAAGGGGTCCCCAGGATCCCAATTAGGGGTGTCCTCACCCAGACCAGCCCTCCTCCAACCTATGTGCTTTATGTGTATATTAATCATGCAAAAAAAATGTGATACCCAGATGGTGTGGAGTAGGGAGGGCCAGGGTTTGCATTGGGCAGTCTACAGATGCTTCTGGGGCTAGCTTATGCAGACAAAAGCCCAGACGCCACAGGAACAGACCTTGAACTCTCTCTGGAACATGTTTCTTCACCATCTTTCTTCACTCATCTTTCTTCACCAGTGTACATGTCAGTAGTTCCTCCCCAGACCCCCTTCCTCCTCAGCAGCCTCTGCCCTCACATACTGCTGGCACCATGTGGAAGAGGTGCCATTTCTAAGCATGTTTTCTAAGTGAGGGTAAACATCAGGCTCTCTGCCCACAACCTTCCCAGGGGTGTCACTTCCCAGAATCCTTAGGAAACAGGCCAGGTAGGTGCCCTGTTTGAGACCTGGAAGTGAAGGCTTGGGGATCTGCTAGGGTTTGGGAACAGCACCTCTTTCCCTATGCATGCCCACTAAGAGTCTACATCGGTTTAAGTTTTGTGTCCTCTGGACCCTGAAGCAGCAGAGAGCAGGGCTAAGACAAAGCTTTGTTCAAGTCTTGACCCTACCACTTAGACTCTGTGGCCATGACCTCTCTGATCCCCAGTTCCCTCCCTCCCTGGTTGGAAGCAGATGGTTAGTGCTGAGTCCAGGGGGCAGGCTCCTCCCAGGCCTCTGCAGCACATAAGTTAGACCAGTTCATCTTTACACAGGAAGGTTAGGTACCTCAGCCAGGACCCAGATTCAGGCCTTGGATAGCCCAGCCTGGATTCACTCTATACTGTCCCCCCTTACCTGAGATACAGCCTACTCCTGTCCCAGGACAGCCCACCAAGCACCTCCCTCACCTCTATGGAAAAAGGCAGCCAGACAGAAGCAGGTTTTCATGCCAATAATTTATTGAACGGAGGTCTGTACACAGGCAAACCTTACTGTGGAAACTAAGACATCAGGATCCCCCTTCCCCCAACTCCTACCCTGGCCCTCCAGGGTGTGGAGAGGAGAGAGGAGACCTTAGGGCAGAGGACAGGAAGGGGACACAGCTGTAGGAGGGGGAGGAGCCAGGTTGGACGGTGCGAATCGACGTTTTCTTTAAGAAAAAAATTATAACAATCTATTTACACCTGGGGGCCAGGAAAGGGAAGAGGAGATGGGCTGGTCTGGTTCTATTTACAAGGGACACAGGAGGGGAGGGTGGGTCGGAGGAGGAGGAGGTGGAGGTGGAGGCCTGGGGGGAAGGAAAGGGGCCAAGGCGTAGAAGGGTCTCAATGCCCCCAACCCTGCCCATCCTTCCTTCGCTTCACTCCCCACTAGTTGAAATCCTCTTAAAAAGCCCACCGTAGGGGTGAGACTGGTGAGGGAGGGACAGGAGGAGGGGACAGGGACTCATTTACCTCTGCCCTCTAATCTAGGGGTCCAGCCAGGGCAGGAGCTATGCCCCCCCCTTTCCCAGCCCCACCTGGGGCTCCCAGATGGAAGGGTAGTTGGCAGGGCCCTCAGGAGGAGTTAGTGAGGGGAGCTGTGGTATCAGATGACTGCCATTCTGAGCCGGTCTGAGTCTCACTTAAAGCTGAAGAGAGGAAGGAGCAGACAGTTAGCCTTTGCCTTTCAAACCCTCCCAACTCCCATGAGCAGGAAGTCCGTGTGAGATGCTACATCAGAAATTAAAAACTCATTTTAGGTCCAGGGTTGCAAATTCAAATGCCAAAGGGCCAGGATGGTCACACTCTGGTGAGTGACTCACCAGAGAGCCAGGCCCCACCTCAAAGGGCCTGAGGAAAGGCAGGCCCACTGCTGTCCCAGCTGATTTTCTTCCCCAAGAGAAACAGGACATCTGGATTTATACAGGAAATGGCCCCCATTTTTAAACGTGGATAACAAATTCAACTGTTTATGCGGGCCTAACTTATGTCTTTGGTTTTCCAGCTAGCATTTCAACACAAATAGGCAATAATGGCCAACACAAGTGGCCATTCGCATGTTGTAAAATATGCTTTCTATACCATCAAACCATGAGCAATTTTAAAATACCTACAGGAAACTCAGGAGCTATGAAAATAGCCCCTTCCCCCCCAGCTGAAAAATGCTGTTCTACCCTGACTTACCTTGTGAGGATGGGGTGAGGGTGGCAGTGCCCGCAGGGGACCTCAAGTGAGGAGGGATGAGAATGGCGTTGAGAGATGGTTGGATGGAGAGTTCTAGAAACAGGAATGGACACGCCTGGTCAGAGGGCAGAGCATCTGCAGGCCCAGTTGGAGTTAGAAAAGGGCACTGAGTGGGGACCCAGCTCTTGGCAAGGTCAGGTGTTTGCAGACACGTGTAGCCCCCCGAATACTTGAAAGGAAAAACTGTAAAGAGCCTAGCACAGGAGAGCACAGGGCACAGGTGAATCAGATTTGGGTATCCCTGAACCACAGGGGCTGCTCCCATGCTCCAGGGTCTTCCCTTGTGTCCACCCTCAGCTCCCATTCCTATCTTCAACACCAAGCTCTTCTCCACAATCACTGGCTGCCCCTCCAGCTCCCAGATCCCAGGCTGTGCCCTCACCACCAGGACTGAAATTGAAGAGGGGGGGAAGCGAGCGGTTGTTGGGGAGCTGGATTCCGTGACATCGCAGTTCATCAAAGAAGCTGTGGGCACAAGCTTCCAGTGGGGAGAGCCTTGAGGACGGTGTGTACTCCAGTAGGCTAGAGCAGAGCGCTATGGCCTCAGGTGGCGTTCGAGATTTGAACACCTGGGAGGAGGGGAAAAAGTCACAAGAGTGAGAGGCCTTGGGCACTTGCATGCTCCTACACCTCAATGCCACAGTGCCCAAAGAACATGTGACTGCCCGCCTCCCACACACCCACCTTCCAAATGAGAAAACTGAGACACAACCACTGACGGGAGCTCAGTTTGTATCAGGTGAGCAGCCCACAGTCCCATGACTATGGGCTCTGCTATAAGTCTGTTTCCCCACTAGAAAAGTGTGACTTGAATCTACTGTGGGTTGTCAACTTTCAGATTACTAGAAATCCCATAAACTGAAATCTAATGAAAGTTACTGACCCACTCCATGGGTAAGTATGCCATGACTCTGTAGCCAGATCCCCAGAGACTAGTTGGCCTCCAATGGGGACCTCAGTCATGCTGCCTGAGACCCTAGCCCTGCCCCACCTTTGTCCAGGGGTGAGCTTTAATCTGGGGGAACTTGAACTCCGTGTAGTTGGGGTTCATCTCTCGGATCTGTTCCCGGGTTGGTGTTCCCAGCACCTGTAGGAAAAGGAGGGGTCTGAGCTAAGACCCCTATCACTTAGCCCCACCCCTGCCCACCTGACCCTGCCCTCACCTTGATGATCTCCACCAGCTGGTCTACCCCACTGTCCCCAGGGAAGATGGGCTGGCCAAGGAGGAGCTCTGCCAGTACACAGCCAGCTGACCACACATCTGAAGGGGCAATGAGGGAGGGTCAGAGCTACCATGTCCATCCCCTCACAAATGCTTCTGTCCCTTATGATCAGAAAGGAAATGCCTTACTCAAGGTCATCCCGTTTAGGAGCCCTGGAGCCTGACTTAAACCTCCAGGTCTGCCTGACTGTGATGCACTCCTATTCCTTCCTGGTCTGTACCTTGAGCCCTATGACACAAGCTCACACCCAAGGATCACGCAGTTTCCTCACACCCTTTCCTCATGTCTGGAAGGTAGAACTGTCATCCTCACCAACAGGGAGGGACACACCCTCACAGCCTCACCTGGAACTCCCCCAAGGTCACCATCAGCCCCCACCCACCCCACCCCCGATGAGAAGAGAGGGCTGACTGAGAAGTTCCAGAGCCAGTATGGACTCTGAAGTCAGGTCAGCCTTCAAAGCCCAACCCTGC